AAGTGGACCTCAGAGAACAGTACAAAATAAAAAACAAAGGCAGTTCATGACCCCTTTAAACAAACCGATAGCTCTAAGATGAATCACAACATTATAGATATATATATATATTTTATATATAAATAAAAAATAATCAGAAAAACTGAGGCACAAAACCATGAAGCACTGTCAAGTGACATAAAAAAACAAATCTAAAATATATAATGTAAAATTTGGCTCACTAAATATATTGCAAGCATAATTGATCAATTTATTGCATTTAGATATGCTTACATACATACAGATCGAACGTTTGGAATAATTACAATTTTCTTTTGTTCATCAGAGCTGCATTTGTTTGATCAAAAATAGTTAAAACAGTAATCTTGTGAAATATTTTTAAAATTTAAAATTAGTTTTATTTGAATATATTTAAAAAATATTTTAGCCTATGAATACATGTTATGAATAATTATTTTTTATTGAGTAGCAAATCAGCATATCAGAATGATTTCTGAAGGATCACATGACACTGAAGACTGGAGTAATGATGCTGAAAATTCAGCTTTGCATCACAGGAATTAATTTACATTTTAAAATATATTCAAATAGAAAACACTTATTTTAAATTGCAATAATATTTCACAAATTTTTTTACTGTATTTTCGATCAGATAAACCCTTCTTTCAAAACTATTAAAAGTTCCTAATTATTCCAAACTCTTTGACCGCTATAGTGTAAGTTGTTTGGGAGTTATTATTATCAGCAGTGCATCATGGGAGTGGGCGGTCCAGTCGCTTCTGAGCAATTTTGCCGTAATTTATCACACTTACTTGTGGTTTGCACATAAACATAAAACATCATCTAACAAGCCGGGATTGGGCGGTAGGTCTGTGTTACTGTTAAAAATAATTTTTACTTCCGGAGGCCGGCTGTTGTGCTCTACTGCACAGCAATCAAACTAGGATGAGTTAAAGTAAACAATGTATTATCCGTACTCTGTGTTTATAAAAGAAGCCAAGAGGGTCATGGGTAAGGCTCTATTTTGCTTCTTTAAGGTTTAGAGAGCCATTACAGAGTCAGTTTCCTTCATTCCCAGCCTATATAAGGATACCTCTCGAGGGCTGTTTCTTTAATGGCGCTCTGGAGATTTACAAGGAGTTTGGTTCATTCACACAAGTGTAATTCTCCACAGAGCGCCAGGCCGAGCAGCCAGACAGACTTCCTACTCATCTACCGAGTTGGCCGTTGACCAATGAGAACTGCTGCGCTTTCACGCGGTCATAATAACAGCACTTCAGCCGCTCTGAACCATCAGAAGTGAAAGAGCTGGAGTTTTCCCTCGTGATAATCGTCTGGGAGGAGGTAAGATTGTCTTCCAAAACTATGTGACAATGATCATGGGAGTTGTGGGGCTGATCGTACTCGGGCTGCGTTACGCAGAAACACACCCTTTTAAGAATAGACGGGTCCAAGTTTTTGCAACACGTTCTTCCCTCACATTCCAACATTTTCCAGCGAAACTCCTTCATCCAAGGCAAACAGACTCTGAGACAGAAAACATGGTGTGAAATATGGTTTCTGCCATTATTTCTACAACAGGATCATATATTCTTATGAATAATACATGATGAATGAAGACAAGCTCAAGTTTCCACTGAGGTCGTCCTGTTAAAAAAAGTACTGTGGTAAAATCATGGTGCAGTAATGGTATGAAATGATAATATCACCATAGTACTGAATGATTACCATATTCATGGGGATCATATTTGGGGTAAGTTGTGTTTTTTTTATTAATACTTAAATTAATACTTTTGTTCAGCAAGGATGCATTAAATTGATCATGACAGTAAGTACATTTATAATGTTACAAAAGATTTGTATTTCAAATAAATGCGGTTCTTTAGTTTTAAACTTGCTATTCATAAAAGAATCCTGAAAACTGTCACATTTTTTTTTACAAAAATATGAAGCAGCACAACGGTTTTCAACGTTGAAATGTTTCTTGAGCAGAAAATCTGCAGATTGGAATGATTTCTAAAGGATCATGTGACACTGAAGACTGGAGTAATGATGCTGAAAATTCAGTTTTGCTTCACAGGAATAAATTACATTTTAAAATATATTAAAATAGAAAACACTTATTTTAATTTGTAATATTATTTCACAATTTGACTGTATTTTTGATTAAATAAATGCAGTCTTGGTGAACATAAGAGACTTCTTTGAAAAACATAAAAATGACTGACCCAAAACTTTTGATAAATAAAATCAATGCAAAAAATGCACATGAAATTAAATTCTCTTTTAAAATGCAAATCTATTAAGAGACGCTTGAAGAGCATTCAAACACATTTGATACAGCTGTTATATTGATTATACCAGATCCAAGTGAGTTTAGGGTAACAATGCATGGACAAAAACTCGATGACCCCATCTGTTACAGTCATATGCAATGAGGATAAAAATGTTTCAAAATAACAGCAGATTAAAATGCCCACATGCTATTTTTATGGGTGAAAATGGAAACGGATCCCGTTCACAAGTCTTAAGTGAGATCATTTCGCGGCTCTTGTGTTAAATCAGCCACAGACAGTGCTATTTCTACTCCACATTCATTCTTTCTTCTTTAACCTCAACATCATATTATTTATGATGTGCTGGGGTACATTAATTTTTACTGAATTACACAGTCTGACTAAACAGGATATCATCATGCATTGCAGAAGAACAGCTATTTAAGCCACGCAAATATTTTATGATTTAAATTCAAACAAATATTACAATTTGAGATTAACCTGAATAAGAACATAACATTTGGTTGCCATTGACTTCCATATGATTTTTTCCATACTATGGAAGTCAATGGCTACCAGCAACTGTTTGGTTAGTTTTGTTCAACACAGAAAGAAAATAAGATTTTGAACAACCTGAGTGTGAGAAATTGACAGAATTGTAATTTTGGGGCTGAACTATCCCTTTAAATGGTTAGTTCACCCAAAAATGAAAATTAGCTTGTGTTTTACTTACCCTCGAAGCATCCTAGGTGTATGTCTCCTTTTAAATGGGAATCGCATGAAAATGTCACTCTGAACGTAGGGCATTGATTTAGTGACATGCCATCCTCTGAGACAAACGTGCGTGGCAGGATAATACATTATGCCACTTTGACTGATGACCTTGTCTTCAGACACATCCATTCAGAGCACAGTTGCTTCTATGCGGTGTAGGATAAATAAGAGAAATGCTGATTTCTTTTGGTAATCATTAAAATGAGCTTGGCCTCCCCTTAATATAGTGTAAGGGTGATTTTTCTGGGACTCAATCGTACAAGCGCCTACACAATATGCTAAACACAAGGACTGGAGTGGTGGCATTTTTCTAGTCTTAAAGACATCCGGAGTCAAAGCTCGCTCTCAGAGAGAAAAACATCAAGCATTCCAAGTATTCAACATCTATGTCTACGTTTACATCAACACATATGTGTTACTTTAGATGAAGCTTTTATCCAAAGCAGTTTACAGGGTCACAATGTGTGCACATTTACTCTATGTAAACATTACTTATGTCTGTTGTTAACACATTATCATAATATAGCTGGGTTGTCATGCGACTGAGTTGTGACTTATTGGTCTGAAGTGTTGGGGTAAGAAAAATGTAGCAAAAAACGTGCTGTCCTCCTGGAGTCACAAGAGGTTAAGTGTCTTACTCAAGGACACAACGGTCACAGTTAACGGATCTACCCTTGTGGGGTTTGAACCTGCAAGCTTTGGTTTACCAGACCAGGGCTGCGTTTCCCAAAAGCATCGTAAGCTTAAGTACATCGTAGACCCATTGAAACCAATGGAGCTACGAACAACTTAAGCTTACGATGCTTTTGGGAAACGCAGCCCTGATCCTTAGCTACATATACTGTATAGGTCAATGATGCTTGTTTTTGTAGTCCAGATCTATTGAATTATATATATATAAAAAGGCAATTAATATGAAAAATGACTCTAATGCACCTTTTCTATGATAAATGTTTTCCATTTCTGCATTAAAATGTCCTTTTGATATTTTTTCAGCAGCTTTAAAGTAAAAAAGTCAAGATGAAGTAACCATCCAGAGATTATAAAGACAAAATGTTATTAAAATAATAAAATTCTTGTTGAAAGACATGTTGATTCTTCATAAGTAGCTAGGCATAATATTCCATTTTATAAATTATTACTTGTAAAAAAAAAAAAGAAAAGAAAATCTACGTAAATCAGCATAATCAAAGTAAGAAATAGTCAAATTGTTAAATATGACAATATTAAAAATCCTATTTTAAAATATTTTAATTTCTTTTCTTTAAAAAAAAAAATCAAAGAAATTAGGTGTTAAATTGAAATTAAAACTGTAATATTTCACAATATTACTATTTTACAGTATTTTAATCAAATAAATGCAGCCTGGGTGAGCATAAGACTTTTTTTTTTCAAAGCCTTGAAAAAAAAATCTTACTCCCAGTTGAGCTAATTTGATTTCAGATGTTAATACTATAATAAAAACTTCATCCAAATCAGTGAGGCATAACCAACATGCAGGAAGCCATTTTGTTGTCATGTGACAAGAAAACCATCAAAACAGACAGGACCTCATGACTGAAAATATCATATTTGACCTTTTAATGAAAAGTCATGTTCAGGTCAAATGCAGTAATCTTGAAGAAAAATTAAAGACATTTATGATTCAAACTTGAAAAATATATTTGAAGACGGATCATTTGACATTTTAGAGAGTTATTCACATTTTATGTAGAAAACGGCACAAACTTTTCTAAATACTACTTTTCCAAGAAGTTGGCACATTAAACTTTCTCCTTCTCCTTCCTATCAACCTTATTTGTCACTGACACATCTGCATTTGCATACATCAATGTCACCTCTGCTATTTGTAATGATGCTTTGGCAGAACTGCATGCGAAACGCTGAAACTGAAAAGAAATGGCACACACGTCAGAGCATGATCTAGCCTTAAATAAGCTCCAGACTCACCTGATCTGCGCAGGGCAGGCTGTGGACTGGGTAAACCGCTGCTGATGTGGTATGAGAAGCGCATGCTTTTGAACTGGCTGGAATAGGAGGATGAATTGTGCGGACTGGAGCTGATGAGATGCGCGCTCTTGGGTCGATTCAACTGCATCCCTGCCTGCGAAACCCTCACGCAGGCATATAGGACACAAGACGCGGACGATTTCCAGGGAACGGGCTTTATAATCCAGGTCCAGATATGAAAGCCGAATCTTCACAACAGTCCAGGTCCAAAACCACCAGCCACTCTCGCGTCCCGAGGTCGTCCTCTTTCCTGTAGATGCTGGAAAGGGTGAATCAGGCGGATCGATCCCCCTTGATCAGCCGGTGGACAGTAAATCCGAGCAGAAACAGCCATCAACGATCAGTTTAACCAGAACCACATACAAGTCCAAGCAAGTGTGATAGAAAGAACTCCCAACGCGCAATGACCTTTATGAAAACCAATCATCTTCTTATGGCATTTGCAGTAGTAGTGCTGCGGTCACAGAATGTACAGAAGCAACGAATAACGTTAGAAATTCATAACAGAAGATAATACCATTATAACATGACGCTTCCAAAGCGAAAGAGCTTCGAAGAACCACACTGGCTCCGTTAGTGACACTCGCGTTTTAAAACGAACTTTCCCATTTCATCTTTCCTAAACTTCTTGTAGCGGAATGTAAACGGCGCCGCATATTGTCGTTATTATTTGTTTCCTTTCGGTATAACCGTATCCAAAAATACGCACAGTCAGCTGCTTCAAACACAATCCACATTCGCCGTTTGAAAACTCCTCCGGCTGTCGGCGTGTATTTTAAGCAGGACCCCCAAACAAAACAAACGTTACAATGTCGCAACGTTCCATTGTTAGAATGTTGCAGTGTTACAATTCTTGTCGCTCTCCACCGGTTGCTCGTCTGTTCTTTTGTGGGACTCGACAACGCCAAAGTGTGTTAAACTGAAAACCACCTCCTCCTTCTCCAGGACATATGAAACCGAGCTTCAACCCCCTCTATCTCTCTCTCCTCTTTTCCCAAAGTCTGTTTCTCATTTTTTTTCTCCCTCTCTCTCCATTTCCTAAGGGTCTGTGCTTGAAATCTGATGCAAAGGAAAAACTTTCAAAGGATTTGAACGTTCCCCCTTCCTGAAAAGAAACCCATGTGTGTCCTAATCGGGAAGATCGTTCATATTTCATAAATTAAACATTTACACCCCATAAAAATATGTGGATTTTGGAAGAGCGCTTAAGTGGTTGTAAACATGGGCTCGTCCCATTTGACCTACATTGCACCAGTAGCTCACGTTGAGAAGGCTTCAAGGAGAGGAGGGAAAAAAACTGAACTTTTAACCAGTTTTGAATTTGGGTGGATCTAATTGGTTGTCATCAGGTTAATACCACTCCATTGTCCATAAAACCCTTAATAGCCAATGATGAATGCATTGTTTTGAGTGACACATTAAATTTAACTCCATTTAAGATCTTAATAATCAAAACCACAACATATCCATATCACAATAAATAAAAATGAACAAATTAAAGGAAGTAAATCAATGACTTTTTTCTTCTTCTTTTTTGCTTTATGGTAATTTGTAAAGAAAATATGCTTAATTTGTCATGAAAATGATATCACACAGCAAAAATAAATAAATGCTGGCCCTAATAGATGTCAATTTCTGTAAGCAATAAATAATTTATAATTTTTTAAAATTAATTTAATAATTTATGATCTTGGAGTAAAAAAATCTGACATGTCCATGACAGGTTTTGTGAGATTAACCCGGCTTCTTGCCTTTCTGTCAGCAGTGTGAACCTTCTGAGTGTGTTTTCCCATAAATGAACATGTTATGGGTGGAAAGGGCGCCATCAAATTCGGCAATGTTTATATAAGTTGAGTTCGTACAGGCTGAGTCAGTAGAGTCTGTCCAGCTGCAGGACTGAAACTCTTTACACGTCTCTCTATGCAATACATTTTTTGCATGTTTATCATCACTGCTTAATCATTGGAGGTTTAATGACATACAGACCATTCTAAATCCATTCCTGCATCTGTCATATATAGTACAGAATCCAATCCACTTTTAACTTAAAAAGAGCAAAAAGGACCTGCCCACCACTAACTACTGTGATGACAGTATTTGACTAAGGAAGGTGGTTTGATGAGCCCTTTCTATAATTGCTGGCGTCAATTACACAGTTTGACCATTAGATGTCAGTCTTGCTTATAAAGTCAGATACACACTTACCCTGCTGCGCTTGTAGTAAAGGGCAAGAAGTTTACAGAGTTAAACCTTCAGTTGTTACACTGGAATTTATTTATTGGTTTTGTAAAAACAACACATCTGAAAAAAAACAAAAACAAATATAATGTTTAAAAATTAAAAAGGAAGCATACATTCAAAATGGATAAAATGTCTGTGATCTTCCATCTTTCAGAGGTTTTAGATCTCTCTAATGATCCGGAACCTTTGTTATTCACTGGATCAGATCTTTAGATGGCAATCAAACCTTTTTCTGATATTCTGCATCAGTCCTTCACTCCTCTAACTTCTGGACCATACTAAGATTTCCGACTTCTCAGGCTATACCTCGGCTGTTGGGGAAAAAAATGAGAATACATTTGCATACAGACATTTTCAATCAAAATACAGCTGGGAAACACATGCCAAGCGGTTTTTGCAATAAACATCTAATTACTTTGCTAGCAGGGGCAGATTTAGTGAATTGGGGGCCCCAGGCAAAATATAGGAATGGGGCCCTATACATTTTCACACATTTTCCTAGATCAACCTTGACGTTCCTTTTTTGTTAAAGTGTCACACGTTTTAAACTCAACAAAATGGTAAAATACATATATCAAGAGCATGCTCACAGATGAGAACAAAACAGCTTGGATGAAGTGGATTAGAGCCCTGCACGAGTCTCAAATCGGCCCTAGCCCGTCTTTTTCCCCTTTTCCCAAAAAAAGCTTATACTACTGTTTCAGGTATTAAAATAGTTCAGTTTTGTGTGTAATGGAAATTTCGTTAATTTTTTTATAAAGTAAGTTTAGAAAAATGTTTGGAGCATTTTTTGTTCGTTAATATGTACGTTTTTTTTAAGTAACGGCCAGCGGCAGACAGTGAATTGATCATAGCCTATATGTTCAATTTAGTCTTCTCAAATCATCACGACTTGCCTAAAATAAAATCTATAGATATAAAACAGTTCAAGCATATCACAATGTTAGTTTAAGTGTTTAACCTAGATAAATGTGCGCTATTATTCACAAAATCTGCAATTTTCTGTCACTCTATGGATGTAGTAAAACACCCAGAGATGTAGCAGAAAACAACTGGCTCATTTTCTTTTATCACTGGCCGTAATTCTTATCTTGAAATCAGGATTAGGCCTTCAACAATCAACACCCCAAAATCAATAAGAAACCAGTATAGGATTTCCTTCAGTAAATATGATGCAGTGCGGTAATGTGTGTGAGGAACAAATTGAAATTTAAGTTACTCTCTAATAATCTTCCTGGAATGTAACCACGTTAGCTCATGGTAAGTCCGCCCCTGTTTGCTAGAAATGGATAAATATTATTGAGAAAAGTGTTAGAGATGTCTGTACATAGCTGAGAATTCAGAAACTTAAAAAATGACTGACAAATTAGGTTTTTGTTGAATGAGTGAAAATTTTCCATATAATATTATTTCACAGCCCTGCATTTTGGAAAAAAAAACCTGCTGATTTGTGGAAAAAAAGGCCTAATATTACCTAATTTGATGATGCGGTGTTCAAAAACTTTCCATCATGTACAGTTTTTCAACAAAATAATACTAAATTTAGTAACACACACACACACAGTATATATATAAAGCACTTATCAATAACAAAATCAAATTTCAAAACTAAAGGAGTGGAAAAACATGTCCAAACACTTACATAAACACAGGTTTATAAATAAGCTTTATTCACAAAATCTGCAATTGTCTGTCACTCTATGGATGTAGTAAAACACCCAGAGATGTAGCAGAAAACAACTGGCTCATTTTCTTTTATCACTGGCCGTAATTCTTATCTTGAAATCAGGATTAGGCCTTCAACAATCAACACCCCAAAATCAATAAGAAACCAGTATAGGATTTCCTTCAGTAAATATGATGCAGTGCGGTAATGTGTGTGAGGAACAAATTGAAATTTAAGTTACTCTCTAATAATCTTCCTGGAATGTAACCACGTTAGCTCATCATTAGATCATCCTTTCAAGATGTAAATTCAAAGCCACAAGTCCAAAATGAAAAAAAAAATCTAAAATGAAACAATGCATCAATGTCAATGTCCAGGGTCAATATTAAGTTCACTGTACTACAAAACGTCAAAAATTCATCCCTAATTATTAAATAAGCTTCTAAAGTTATTTACTTTAAAGTTAATAATCTTCCTGGAAAGGAACCACATTATAAAAACATTCCTATAAAATGAATACATATATTAATGTATGTACAGCACCTCATTGTCATCCACCAGCACACTGTATACCGTGACAGAAGACGTCCGTGAACGAGACCCTGACGTGTGCCGCTGACGTCTCTTCAGGGCTTCTGAGGTGCTCCGTGTCTCGTAATGTCTGGCTGATGACAATATCAATTTACATTGGAAATAGGATGTTAGTTCAACAAATTAGAACAATAACTTAAATATTACTGTGAACTAAACCGTATTACATAACCACGAACTACGTATCTTATTTAATTCATCTTTTGAGCTCAGGACACCTTCTGAAACATGCAGATAATTGATTAAAATGTCAGCTCTTTCAGAAGCAGCGCTTACTGTCCGGAGACGCAGAGAATGTGGACAGGGCCGCATTCACGGCGCTAGAGGGATGCAGAACAACTAAACTGTCATCTCTCTCTTCCCACTTGCTCTGCCAATGTTTAGGTCTGGACCTCTTCCATTCATCCACAGATGCCGAGAGACATTCTAGAAGGTATCATAAGAAAGATCAAGAACAAATTCTGGAACTAAACCCTTTAAATGTCAAGGTACCTGCTTCTCTTGGAGATACCTGCTTTTTGCAAGGCCTGCTGAAGATCAGAGCGAGTCTCTTTGAGCTCCTTCAGAATTTCAAGACTCTCTCGGCTGATATTGCGGTAGCGCAGAGCGAAGTACAGCAGAACAAGGCAGCCAATTAGAACCATGGATTTTCTTAGAAGACCAACTAAAAAGGCGATTTTCTCCTATGCAAAAAGAGAAAAAAAAATTTGCAATAAAATCATGATTTTGCTTAAATTCCACACTTTAAACCTAGACAACAATGACCACGTCAGTATTATGCAGTAGTCTTACCATCTGTTGAAAACCATGGTCCTCGCTTTCCAACACCGTCTTACAGATCATCCTTTCGAGGTATATATTCAAAGCCACAAGTCCAAAAAGGAAAAATCTAAAATGAAACATGATGCATCAATGTCAAAGTCTGAGTAATTTGATTAAAAGGGTCAATGTGACGTACAATGTACTATGAAACACATTCAAAATTTAAGAAAAATTGAAATAATTAAATTAAAACTAGCTTCTAAAGTTGAA